CTCCCTTCACAGAGGCCCCATCCCCTGCTTTGCCATCATTTGGGAGTAGTGACAGAGAGTGAGGACTGAGGTTTTGGAGATGAGGAGCTCTGTGGCAAGGCGAGTGTTTCTCAGACACAGCAGGGTCGCCACTCTCTCTTGGGCCTGGCTGGGGACTGCCCACGGCACAGGTGGCACAGGATAGGGCTCCAGGCAGAAAAATGAAACCTGATTCCATCTGAGCTCTGTCCTTTCCTAGTTAACCTGGATCTAGATTATTGTTGAATTTATTCTGGTGATGAATGAAACATTTAATGACGAATTCCTTGACTCCTCAAAGAAGTGATTCTTAAATGTGTTTGGGTGACACACATCTCCGCAAATCTAAGGCCCACTGCTCAGGAAACTACACAGACCCACACACCCATGAATTTTGTCAGGTAGTTTCAGAGGGTTGACAAGGAGCTAAAGTCCATCTGCAGACCAGGTTAATGACGTTAGAGGCGGTGTATTGTCCCACCTCCTTGGCACAGCTCACTCAGCTCTGGCCCTCTGCTCCTCCAGCTTCCCCTAATGCTCCTGGCACGTGATGATTTTCAGTTCTCCTTTCTCACTTCTGCGCTTTATGCGAACTAATCTCGCCTGGAATGTTCCCCTCCTTGACTGCCTGGAAACTGACTAACTTTATTAAGGCAGACTTAAGCACTTCTTTTGTTCTGTGATATGTTACCAAAAGACGGCATTTTGTCTGATAGGCTGTTTGGTCAGGGGTATGAAAGCAGCTGCCATGTCCAATCCCAGTGTCAAAATGTAAAAATGGTGCTTCTTTAAGCCAGCTTGACATTTCTTGTCTTCTCTTCTTCCTTGTCCCTGGTCCTGCCCATTTTGGATAGAACAGGATTCTTTTAGCTTGTGAATTATGATCAGAACTACTATTCCTGAAAGGCAGATAATATCGATAAGAATGAGATTTCTCTTTGTTTTTTTTTCTTTAATCTTTTGAGAGTGAGATTTCTATCTTGTAGATCCTCCCATCTGAAAAATTTGGAAGTTCTAAGATTACTTTTGCAGATGAATGTCAAGATCACCTGCTACTTTTACAGGATGGAGTCAGGAATAATTCACCTGTGGCCCTGGCCACCATGGGCCCTGTGGCAGACAGTGTCTGCGGCCATTCCCAGCCCCCTTCTCTATTGCTGCCTCTCACTCTGAGGGGTGGATGCGCGCTATCCCTGAACACCTTTGTAGTTAGGGGTGGGCCGTGCAGCCTGCTTCTGGCCCACCAGTCTTAAGGGAAAGTCTGCTGGGAGCTCCTGGGAAAACTTCTGCTTTCCTGATAAAAGGAACAATCAGATTGGGGGCACTCTTTTCCCCCTCTTCCTGCCTTCAGAGATGATGTGGTGTTTAGAGCTGTGGCGACCACTTTGTGACCATGAGGTGACAGCATGAGCAGTGCTTCTCAATTTGTGTGCGTATCAGACTCACCCGGAGGGCTCCTCCAAATAAAGACTGTTGGGCCCTGTCCCCGGAGTTTCTGATTCCCGGGTCAGGAGCATGCCTGAGAAGTGGCACGGCTACCAAGTTTACAGGCGAGGCTGATGGTACCAGGTTGAGGACCACCTTTTGAGAACCACTGAATGTGAGGATAAAAATGCGATAGGCTGATGATGGCAAAGCAGAATGATGGAGTCTGGGTGCCGATGGCCTTGCCAGGCAGCTGAATTGATGTAAACGCTTGGTCAGCCTCTTGATTTCTTGTTCTGTGAGAGAAATGCAGTCCTATTTGTTTATTTTTCAAGCAAACTTTGTGGACTTTGTGGGGAGGAGAGAAGAGGAGAAAAATCTAGCGGGATGTCCATCTGAGGCTAACTTACTATGGAGTAAAAACTCTTTTGACAGGAAGTGTTTTGCAACATGTCTTAGAGTCTCATGGATGCTGATATAGTAGGACTGTGGGTTTTTTAAAGATTTTATTTATTCACTTTTAGAGAGAGGAGGAGGGAAGAAGAAAGAGATGGAGAGAAACATCAATGTGATGCCTCCAACTAGGGACCTGGCCCGCAACCCAGGCAGGTGCCCTGACTGAAAATCGAACTGGCGACCTTTTGGTTCACAGGCCAATGCTCAATCCACTGAGCCACACCAGCCAGGGTGACTGTGAGTTTTTTTCAATATTAGGTTAATTAAAAAAAAATTTTTAAAGACCGAAGTAAAACATGTACATAGTTTTAAAAATCTAGTTATACAAGGTTTCTAATGATAAATGCTAACACCCTCACACATACTTACTCTGATACCTACTCCTCTGAGGCAATTGTTTTCAACACTTCTACTTATTGTTCCTGAAATTTACAAATTTCAGCTTTGCTCACCCACGTTCTCCCATAGAAGATGAGAATTCAGATGTCTTTTTATATGTCCTCTCCCTCTCCACACCAGATCCTGAAATCTGGCAGCGCTTCATTTGGCCTTCTCAGTCTCCAGGACTATGAGAGGGCATTTCTCCTGTTTTTAAGCCACCCAGTCTGTGGTATTGCGAACTGAGTAAGACAACCACCATCTTGAACAGTGATGGCTGACATGCCTGAGGGAAAAAGAATCAGTTGAGTCTCAAGGCAGGGAACAAATGCTGCAGGCATGAAGTGACACATATTTTTTCTGCTCAAACTCACTAGCCACACTCAACTAATGGTAAGAGGGCCAGGAAATAAAATCCGACCAAGTTCCCAGAAGGCAGAAAGCCAGGAATATTTCATGAAGAACATTAATTGTCCTCTACTAGTTACTATGTACCCAGAGCTGTTCTAAATATATTACAGGCATCATCTCAGTTAAGCCTTGCAACAATCTTATAAGAGAGGTACTATCGATATCATCACAATCCCCATTTTATAGATGAAATAACTGGGGCACAGAGAGGTTAAGCAAGCTGATCAAAGTCACACAGTGGTGAAGACAAGGATTTAAACACAGTCATCTGGTTCCATAGTCTGTCTTAAACCACCAGACTTTATTAAATGGGAAAATGAGAGGAAGCGCTGTCACAGATGATGGAGAGTTGTTAAAGAATTTAAAGCTGGAGGGTGTGATTCAATCAGATTTGTCATTTAGAAAACTCTCTCCAAAGAGTGAGGGGGCCCTGGCTGGTGTAGCTCAGTGGATTGAGCGTGAGCCTGTGAAGCAAAGGGTTGCCGGTTGATTCCCAGTCAGGGCACATGCCTGGGTTGCAGGTCAGGTCCCCAGTGGGGGACACATGAGAGGCAACCACACATTGATGTTTCTCTCCCACTCTTTCTCCTTCCTGTCCCCTCTCTCTAAAAATAAATAAATAAAATATTTTAAAAAAAGAGTGAGGGGAAGGATCAGTTTAACTAGGGTTAGACTAAGACAAGGAGGCATTTGCCTAGTGAAAAGAAGAAATAGAGGAGTTGAACTAAGGCACAATTACTACAATAAACTGGGTAAACTTTAGCTTCTGTTTCATCATTTCTTGAAAAATGGTTATGCTCAGACCTATCTTGATGGGTTTTCTTGAGAATTAGAAAGGATAACATAAGCAGAACTCTGACAATAGTAAGGCTGACATTGCTGGAGTCACAGACACCAAGATCAGAAACCCCAGCTCTGCTATTCACTGGATGGGGTCCATTGTTCTAAAGTCTCAATTTACTCATTTATAAAACCAGTGTTAAAGTAAGAAAAATTAAATAAGTTATATACTAAGAAAATATATTGCAAACTGATGGCAGGTTGAGACAATTAGCTTAGAAGGAAGGCAGAATTCCTTCTAGACAAAGAGCTGAGATTTTGTTTGGGAAAAACGCCTTAAAAGACTTGTGTGCTTATTAAAGTCAAGCCTCTTAGGCAAAGCTAAAAGAGAAGAGGTTTCAACAAAGAATTAAATTGCTTTGATTAACAAAGTAATAGGAAATTTTCATTTTCCTCTGATGAGATTAAAGTTTTGAGGGAAGCCTTGTCTTGGGAGAAAGCGAAGAGATGGAGGAGAGGGTTTCACCAGAGGTAAGACAACCGAGGATCTGCTTTTATCAGCTTCTCCATCCATTCGTCCCCTCACAGCCAGTGAGGTTTTAAAACTGTGGATTGGACCGTGTTGTTTTCTCTTCCCCAGCAAGTGCCTGGTAGTTAAGTCGGAAGTTGCTCAATAACAATTTGCTGAATGAGCGAATGAATACATTTGTCAGATGGCAAGTGGATCCCTAAAGAAAAGAATTAGTCATTGAGAAATTCTCTGTAGCAAAGGTGGCTTTGGACAATTGTGTTTAATCATCGTTTTTAAGTAGCTGCCTAATCTGTGGAATACTGTAATCACCCCTTCTCTCTACATCACTCCCTCCAAATGACCTGCAGTAAAAGTCTACTGCACAAAACTGGACTGCTTGGGGAGGATTTAAGGAATGGAAAAAGAAAGCATCTAAGCACTAGGCAAAAAACACACAAACCAAACATGGTAGTAAATCACAAGAGGAAGGCAAATGAACAAGGGGACCCAGAATTCACTGAAAGCAGGCATTCCGAGTGAGAGGTGATCAGAATCCTCTCAAAATTTGGAGAGGATGATATCTCCCTTATCGTGGGTTAGAAGCTTGGGCTGTTTTATTTGACTGTTGAAGGAAAGAATAAGCAGAGGTCTTTGGGGTATCCATAACCTCCAGGTTACATAAGGATGATTATTTAACTCAAAGAGATGATTTGAGGAGTATATTACAATAATTCATGTAAAGAGATTAGCACAGTGCCTGGCACGTAGTGAGACCTCAGTAAATGTTTGTTGCTGTTTTTGTTTACTTTCTCTCCCTCCCTCCACTCCCTCCACTCCCTTTCTACCAGGCTCCATTCATTCTTTTCCAAGGGCATGCAGGGGGCGTGCTCACTCCTCCCTCCGCCCCACCCAAGCCCCGCCCCTCACTTCTGCCGGGATTGGTTCCTTAGAGGAGGAGCCCAGGGAAGAGCCCAGTACGAATGGTGGGGGCGGGACGCATGCGCGGGCTGGGGCTGGGTGGAGGTGGAGAGGAAGAGCTGCCGGAAGTAGACGGCAGGGGTGGTGGCGGAGCAGTCGGCAGCTGCCTGGGAAACCGAGGCCCTGGACGCACCGCACGCAGACAGGCAGGGAGGCCGGGTGGTAGTCTCCGTGCCCAGCAACCACAGGCCCGAGACCACCCTTTGCATGAGCTGAGGGTCCCTGGTCCGGCAGCTTTCTCTGGACTCAAGCCTTTCCCTAAGCCCACCAGGGGGCGCCGCGCTGAGGGGCTGCTGAGTAGGGGGCGGGCGCGGCTGTCCGGAGAAGGGGCTCGGGCCGGAGGAGAAGGCTCTGCCCCGCTCAGGAGTTACCCCTGGGCGGGGGAGCGGTAGTCTTCACCTACAGACTGAAGCAAGGTTTCTGGGGGCAAGGAGGGCACGTTGCCCTCTGCCCCCGCCGGCACCCTGGCCATGACGGGCAAGTCGGTGAAGGACGTGGATCGGTACCAGGCAGTCCTGGCCAACCTACTGTTGGAGGAGGATAACAAGTTTTGTGCGGACTGCCAGTCTAAAGGTAGCGCATCCCCCCCCACCCCCACCCCTGGAGGGCGGGAGATCCTCCAGCCTCCGGGCCGAACCTGGGAGGTGGTCTGTGTGGGTACAGTGTTTCTGGACCTTAGGCCGTCCAAATCACTCTAGATGGTAACCTCGTGCTACTCGTATTGCTGAGCCTGCTAGGTGTTCTGCAGCGCCGGGGTTGGTGTGGAGACAGGTTGTGAAAGCGTGTGTGTGTGTGTGTGTGTGTGTGTGTGTGTGTGTGTGTGTGTTGGGGGGTGACGGTGCGAGTGGAAGTGGTGTGATGTGTGCAGGTGAGTGTGTCTGTATTTCAGGGTTCTGAATGTGTTCTGAGCTGTCATTCCAGAGGCAGCCTAGAGCTCCCAGCCTTCCGCTTGCGAAGCTGGGGGTGAACTGCAGTGAGTGTGAATGTGTCAGAGGGAGAGGGAGAGAGGGATAGGGAGGGAGGGAGGGAGGGAGGGAGGGAGGGAGGGAGGGAAGGAGAGAAGGAGAGAAGGGAAGTAAGGTGATGATGATGGGGAGGAAGAGTGCTTAAATGATTTTTAAAGGTGGTGATTGTTGCTGATTGCCATTTGGTTAGCAGCTCCTTCTGTCATTTCACAGACTTGCTGAGATCCGACAGAGTGGCTAGGTGGCTTCCTTCCTGGATCTGTGCAGTGGGAAACTGCCTTATGCAGTGACACAGTGCGGATTTCTAGACAGCCTGGCCCTGGCTTGTGGAGCACGTTAGAGGCCTAATGTGTGTGTGGTGGCAGAAACTAGCAGATTGTGGCCGTAGTGTAGGATCCGTTTAATCACTAGAGAGAAGGGAGCAAAGGATGCATTGAATTTGTTGCTTCCATGATGATTCCCTTCTAAAGGTGAAATATGATCGCTATAAATTGGCAGAGTCATTTAGTCTTTGTTCTCTGTTCCCTTAAAGATTTATGGTTTGATCAAATGAAAATCAGTATGACAGGAAAACATGGTTATTAGTGAAAGGCTTGCACTTGAAATTTATAGATACGAGTGTCTATAAATACTTTGTTTTCTTATTTTCTATCTGAATTATTTAGACTAAATTGTAGGAACTGGGACTTTTTTTCCTTTGGTTGGGGAGAAAGAGGTAGTTATATTTTGGGATCTGTCGTTAATTTACTTCTGTTCATAATGCAGTGGATTTGCCATATAGCATATTAGGCAGATAGTGTACAAGAGAGATGCAAATGTATTTGTATTCGTCCATATTGAGAAACGAAGTATATGCATAATTGATGCTTTCACTAGTTTCTTTTTATTTTAGAAAAATGAGGTTGTGTGAGGAGAACGGGGGATGATACGTCGATGCTACCAGACACTCAGTAGTCTGTTTTGGTTCCCTCTACCAGATGGAAGGTGTCATTGGGAAAGCAGACCCCCAAACTTCTTCCCTGAATTTTTGCATTAGCAAGACTCCTTTTCCAAAGTACTTTAGAATAAGTTTCTGTTGAGTAGGTTAATTTCTTAAAGTTGGCTCTTGCTAGATCTTGTCCTAGATCTGTAGAAAGATTCTGTTTAAAATTTAGGAGGGTATCTCTTGGCTTTACTCAAATACCCTTATCCTCAGTTGACAGATCTTGAGTCACCGTGAAGCATCCCATTGGAGTGAGTGTGCTCCATTTGGGGAGTGAGATGCCATTTTGACAATTGGTACCGCCCCCACGTTCCCATTTGTCATACCACTCTTGTACTTACTCATATTCCAGTAAAATACCGCATATGGAAGAGAGAGTTTGATTCATCACTTCTTCCTCCAAATTTTCCATTGTTCTTTGTCAATAGCATTATTTGGTGTCAGGTAATGAAACATTAGTTAATTCTTTTTTTTTGAAATATTTATTTACTTCTAGAGGGGGAAGGAAAGGAGAAAGAGGGGAGAGAAACATCAGTGTGTTGCTGCCTCTTATGCACCCCCTACTGGGGACCTTGCTCACACTCAACCCAGGCATGTACCCTGACTGGAAATAGAACCAGGAATCATTTGGTTTGAAGGCCTGCGCTCAATCCACTAAGCTACACCAGCCAGGGCACATTTAATGAGAACCAGTAACAGCTGGCTTGAAAACCTTATTAACTGCTGTTGATGGTAGAATCCTGGTTCCTGAAACAGTTTCTTATTACAAATAAGTTTTATGTTTTAGCTTCGTGGCTTCAGTGACCTGGCCACTGTATTAAAATTGAGATGACAGTATGTCAGTCATCTTTCAATTAGTGCAATAAGGCATTTGTTGAGCCTCAGTTTACCCAGTTTGTGGATTATCTGACCCCTGTCACTCTTTCAGCTCCTTTCACTCATGTGCCCCTCCTTTTCTCTGACATTGGCTGTCATAATATCATGTGAACAACTTTCCGACTGTGGAGAGAAGAGACATCAGTAGACTAAGTTGTCTATTAGCTGTGGCAAAAAATATATTTAGTGGGAGGAGGATCTTAAAAACTGTTAGCTAAAGTGAGACTTGGATTTGAGTTTATTTATCTCTATGTCTCATGTCCTTTCTTACTCAGACAATTGAGAGCTAATTGTACAGGGCCTGGTGAGTAATGGCTAATCCATTAATATTAAATGAGGTGGTTTAGCCCTGGACTGCAGACCTACGAGCAGGTATTTTGGAAATGTTCTGAAAATAACTCTTTGGTGATGACTCTCCTTTTTAAAACCTTATACTTACTTAAGAATGTTATTCTCTCTCTCTCTTTTTATTTTATAGAGAGAAAGGGAGGGAGAGGGAGAGAGATACATCGCCTTGTTGTTCCACTTATTTACGCATTCATTGGCTCATTCCTTTCTGTGCCCTGACCAGGGATCTAATCCACAACCTTGGCCTATAGGGAGGACGCCCTAACCAACTGAGCTACCCGACCAGGGCAGAATGTTATCAATCTTTTTTTTTAATGTCTTCCCATTCTGTCACTTGTCTTTCTTTCTTTTTTTTTTAAATTTATTTATTTATTTATTTTTAGAGAGAGGAAGAAGAAAGAGAGGGAGAGGTTGCCTCTTGCACTAGGGGGACCTGGCCTAAAACCCAGGCCTGTGCCCTGACTGGGAATCGACCTGGTGGCCCTTTGCTTCTCAGGCCTGTTCTTAGTCCACTGAGCTACACTAGCCAGGGCTTAAATACATAACTTAAATATTAGAATAGAGAACAAGAATGTGTTCTCTTTATGTAGTACAAGTTTTGTTGGTCCTGGATTTTTAAAAATTCCCTTGAGCACAAGACTCACCAGTTTCTGGGATCTCTAAGGCAAGGAAGTGATCGCTATGTGGGAAAGGAAGCTGATTTGGCACAGCCTTCAAAAAAAAATTCTATGGTTTGCTCTAGGCCCAAAGATGTGGTTTCCTCACCATCCCAAATGTTCAAGTTATTGTGACCTTTAGGGTAAATTTTTAGGCTGATTTTAGTAGAAGTGATGGAACAAACATACTGAAAATTCCAGGTATGTCCATGGTGACTCTACCTAGCTGAGGCTGGGCCCCATTTTTTGATAGGCCCTTGGTGGTGTCTTATGGGTCCAAGGTTTAGTCTTTAGCTCTGCGGTTCCATCTTTTACCAGTGTGCCTAAGATAACTCCTTATCACCCTCCTTAGTGACAGGTTTCAACTAGACACTATCTTACTTACCACGGAAGTATCTACCTTTCTGATGACCTGAATACTTGGGTCCACTATTGGGACACTCCTTTCTCAGTATCAAAGTTCATAAAAAATTGAGAGCTGTGTCATGAGCAAAGAATTAAAATGAAAGAAAAGAAAGTAAAAGAGAGAAAAACAAAAATGATTTTTAAAAAGAAAAAACTGTGAGGAAAAGAAAGAATTAAAATGAAAAAAGTGCGGTGGTCTTGAGGAGTATTTACTTCAGACTTTGAAACACCTCGTGGAATTCTGGCATCTGACAGAAACTTTGTAATACTTTTTTACTTTTCTCTTCAGCTACTTCCTGCCTCTGAAGTATGTCATCTAGAATCACCTAACCATTGCCTCTGTTTCAATTCCCATTCTATATTCTTAAATTTCAATTTACTGTTTGAAAAAAGTAGCACTTGCACGCAGTTCAGAATTAAAAAGGTTTAAAATGGAATGTGTGCCGTGGAAAGTTGCGCTCCTGCCTCTGATTCCTTCCCCACCATTTTCCCTTCCTGGAAGTAACCGCTACAGGTGATTCCTTATGTGTCTCTTAGGAGATAATCTATGCATAGACAAGCAGCTGCACTTAAATATAGTCCTATGCAGTGCTTTTGTGCAAACAGTAGTGTAATCCACCATTCATGGCACCTGGCATTTTTTAATCAATAGTATAACACGGGGAACCTGAAGATCCGCAGCATTGAGGGGCTTCTTCATTCTTTCAAGGTGTTTTCTAAGGCTATGCCTGCGTTACTTGTTTAAGTTGAAAGACATGCTTAAGTGATTTGGAGACATTTGATCTCATTAAAGGCATCTTAGAATATATCCTAGGCTCATCCATAGCACCATCCATCCTTTGCCCACCTTTCAAGAGGCAAAGAAGCAGAGGAATGGAAGGAGCTGTAGACTTGATGTTGAAATAGCCATTTAGACTCCTTTACTCTGCTCATTTTAGCTTTGTGACCTTCAGCACCCCAACTAACATTGTCAGTTTGTTTCCTCTGTTGAAAATAAAAGTGCTTTGTAAATAAAAGTGTTACACAGATGTAAGCATTATTTATTATTAACATTGCTGATCTTATTTATTTTATCTTGATGTTATTCATTTCCCTCTCTGCCTTTATAGCCTCAAATACTCTAATTCCTGGAGGCCACAGTTATGATGACTCACCCAATAATTCCCCAGTCTTGAAGCCAAGACCATTTCCTATGCAGGGGGGTGCTGGCATTTTTGCAGTTGTGCTTCATGAACCCTTGAGGATGGTCTCTGGACGCTCCCTGACTCTTTCAAACTTGTGTGAAAGATCGGACCAGGGAATCTTTGTGTTGAGATTTTCTAATGGTAGTCCTAGTTAACT